ACCTCACACAGCTCCAGGGATCTGTTGAAGATTTGTGTGAAGACCGGAGCCAGCTGGTCAGCGCAGACTTTCAGGCAGGAGGTGGACACTTTGTCGGGCCCCGCAGCTTTCTTGATCTTCTGCTGCTTGAAGAGCCGTCTCACGTCCTGTTTGTGGATCTGTAGGGGAGAAAATGAGGGTGGGGTGGGGGTAGATAGAGTAGTTTCTGGTAGAGGTGGGTGTATGTGGGAAATGGGGGTGTCCTTTTCAAATTGGCAGAAAAACATGTTTAGTTCATCAGCATGACCCTTATTGTTCACTGTTTGGGGGGATGGCATTCTATAGTTTGTGATTGCTTTTCAGCCATTCCACACAGATGCAGTCGTTAGCAGAGAACTGTTTTTTCAGCCTCTCTGCATAGCTTCTCTTAGCGATGTTAATTTACTTTGTCAATTGGTTTCGAGCGTGTTTGTACAGTGCCCGATCTCCACTTCTAAATGCGGCCTCTTTCTCGTCCCCTGAGTTGCCTGAGTTTGGGAGTGAACCATGGCTTGTTATTGTTGAAGGAGCGGAAGGACTTCGTTGGTACACACATGTCCTCACAGAAATTGATGTATGATGTTACAGTGTCTGTGTATTCATCCAGTGTGCCCAGTGAAGTTTCAAAGACGCCCCAATCAGTGCAGTCTAAGCATTCTTGTAGAGCTAGCTTTGCTTCATCTGTCCATTTTTTCACAGTCTTAACAAACGGTTTAACACATTTGAGTTTCTGTCTGTATGTAGGTATTAAGTGTATTAAATTGTGGTCAGAAAGACCTAATGCTGCGCGGGCGATCGATCGGTATGAATTTTTGATTTTTGTATAGCAGTGGTCGAGAATGTTGCCTTCTCTGGTGAAACAGTCGATGTGCTGCTTATATCTGGGAAGTTCACAGTTAAGATGTGCTCTATTATAATCGCTCAAACTGATCAGGGGTGACTCTGGGTATTTTAGTTCGAGTTTGTTTACTTGTTCAGCTGGCATTTGTATTGCCGTGTTAGCGTTAGCTTGTGGCGCAATGTAAACACCGACTCGTAAAAAGGAGGTGAACTCACGTGGTGACTAGAATGGCTTGCAGTTTAAAGACAGCGACTCCAGGTCCGGGCTGTAGTGTGTGTCGAGCTTCGTGACATCAGTGCACCATTCTTCGTTGATATAGAAGCAAATCCCACCACCTTTCGATTTCCCTGATAGCTCCGTGTCGCCGTCGGCTCGGAGTAGGCGGAAGCCGGGTAGATGTAGCACGGAATCCGGGTGGCGGTCACTGAGCCAGGTTTCAGTGAAGCAGAGCGCAGCAGAACGTGCAAAGGTTTTGTTGGTCTTTGTGAGGAGAAGAAGTTCATCCATCTTGTTTGGCAGAGATCGTAGATTAGCAAGATGGATCGATGGGAGCGGGGTTCGAAATCTAAGCTGCCGGAGCTTGACTAGCACGCCGGCTCGCTTCCCCCTCCTCCGACGGCGTTTCCATGCTCCGTACAGCGCAGCCGCTCTGCTTGCGATTAGCTCCGAAAAACCTTGTGGATTTTCATGTGCTGGTGAAAAAAGACTCCCCAATGCTAAGCAACTTTTCCCTTGTGTAAGTAAGCCGCTCAGGGTCGCCAAAAACTAACGAAAATGACAAAAATAGGGATAATACAAGGGAGCGTGTAACCAAAGCTGCCATACCTGTCGGCGCACTGGTGTGATGTACTCATTGCTTCACATACCTTGCTCACTTGGCTAATTTGACCGAGTCTCAGGTCCTATACATGTTTTTTTTACGATGATATTAATGTTGCTGTACCTTACTCATATAACGGTCTCTGTTAATGAAATGACTAGTGTAAAGTTGTGGCTTGTTTATTTCCATGGTGACAAGTGCAGTATACGCTAACCGTTAATCCTGTAACACTTGCTCTGGATATAAAAAAAAACAAACACACCAAAAAGCACCAGTGAAAATGCTCAAAAAGTTTGAAAACGAATGAAAATAGTTGTAATGTGTTTGACAGCTTATCAAGTGGAGACCCAATTTGTCTAGCATTCATGCCGTCCACTCGTCCTATCACCAAGGAAAAGGACCCCGATGCTTGAGTGAGAGAATATCTCTGCACAATTCAAGCATATCACCACGACGTACCTATGAAGGGCCGGTGGGCAATGTGTGGTGCAATTCACTGCCTTCAAGCACCTCCGCGCTGCTTTGCGTCATCAATGCATGAGGCGCGAATGAGCAGTCTTTGATGGATCAGTACAAGGTCAATGGTCGGAATTTCTCAATTTTTATTTGAACTCTTGGTTAGAACAGACCAGCAAATGGACTCTTGTGCTCTAGCAATGCATTTCGTTGGGGTGGGTAATTTACTAAATGTAGTCCTCTAGATGAAAAATACAATTTGATTGAAATGGTAAACAAAGTGCATTGTTTAGCAGAATGTCTACATCATACAATTACTACCCACAGACGTTTACAAAGCATCACATACTTGCCAATTTAATCTATTGAACTGTCAAGTACAGTGGGAGCACATTAGTGGCTGCCGGCCACTGTTGTAACTTCTAAAATGCCAAAAAGTTTGAATTTAACATTTAAAATGGATGACGAATGGTCAGGAGGGCCAACTCTGTCCTGGGCTGCTCCCTGGATACTCTGGAGGAGGTGGGCAACAGGAGGATGCTAGCTAAGCTAACAGCTATGATGGACAGACCCTCCCACCCCCTCCAGGCCACTCTGACAGCACTGGGCAGCTCCTTCAGCCAGAGACTGATACACCCGTGCTGCAAGGAGAGTTCCGCCGCTCGTTCCTGCCGACTAGCTTTCAGGCAATTGAATAGACGGACCTGAAAACCTGACTCACCCCCACTCACGTATTTTTAATACGCTTCTATTTATATTTTATATTATATTTATTGATATACTTTGTGTTCTTCTACTTTCTCCCTTTCATAATTATGGTGCTGTAAATTGGGAATTTGTCCATTGTGAGACAAATAAAATCTTTTCTTACTTTAACCAGGATCCTGCACTGCATTTTGGCAAAGGGGAGAATCCAATCCAAGTCGCTCGCACTCCTGCTCCTGTGTATAAATGTGAATCATCGTCCTCTCCTTATTTTTCACCTTCTTGGTTCATTCGTAGATTTTTGCTCTTTGGAGCATACTCCCACCTACTATACAGGAAGTGTAAGACGCTTCAATGTATCATCAATGCTGTCCACTCAACCCCGCAAACAACACACGAGAGATGTGGGGTGGGTTTCTGTCAGTCATTAGTGAAATGAGTGTCCGTCAGTGAAAGAGAGGTTTGTCGGTACTCAACCCCGTTAGTGACGATTACATTGATTGAGGAAAACCAACTTCTGGCAGTGCTTAATCCATCGGGATTTTTTTGTTTGTTTTTTGAAGTTTCTTGTGATTCTTGTGAAAACTGGCGTCAGTGACAGACTGACGGACCTTTCGTCAGAACTGATGGAATGCCAACCTCTGCCATTTTCTCATGCCCTGGTGACCTTCATGTATCATGTTGGCCATTTCCTCCAGCATCCTAGCTGGAATGACAAGCCACTCACTTTTCATCATTACTCCATCTGCAACAGGCAGGTCTTGGTGGTACTGCCAAAACTCTTCAGGTGGGAGATCTTTCCTGCTGGCAAACCACTTCTTTGAGTTTTCTTCAGTGATGATACCCAATGGCCCTTCTAAGATGTGCATGTGAGCAATTGCTCTCACTATCTCAGCGCACAGCAAATGTGTGCAGTGGATTAAAAATGTTTTTGAAAATCAAGCTTGGACATTGTTTGCATTTCCCATCCATCCATCTGCTTATCCTCACGAGGGTTGCGGGTGTACGAGAGCCAATTCCAGCTGTCTTTGGGCAGTAGGATTGCTATACTCTGAATTGGTTGCCAGCCAATCGCAGGGCACACAAAGACGAACAGCCATCCGCTCTCACACTCACACCTAGGGACAATATAGAGTATTACATTAACCTGCCATACATGTTTATGGAATGCGGGAGGAAATCGGAGAACCTGCAGAAAACCTACGCTGGCGTGGGGAGAACATGCGAACTCCACAGAGAAAGCCGGGGCCTGGAATTGAACCCATGTCCTTTGCAATATGAGGCGAAAGTGATAACTAGTCAACTAATCTGGAGTTCAGACAAACGGTTTTGGAAATGAATTTTGATAGGTTGGCTGGTCAGGACCGAGTGGCTGGGGAGACCAAAGTCGGGATTTCCCCGCATAAGTGGATGACCCAGGATCTGCCCTTGTATCTTTGCCCCACTAAGCAAAAAGGAACGCTTTCTCCTTAAGACCACTTTTGTGTCTTGTCTAGTAAAGCAAGGCCTCGATGGCCCAGATTTTTTTTTTTTAATTTCAGGAAAAAGAAAACAGAAGTGATGGTATTTGGTCCCAGTGGCCCGTGTACATTCGACCCTGTTGACCTGGGTCGAATGAGGTCTAATGTAAAGCCCGTCTCAAACTTGTATTTTAAATTGGACAGTGAATTTGATTCGAACCAGCAAATATGTGCTGTGTTTAATCCTTTTGTTTTTCATTTCAGATAGAACATCAGTCGGCATCCCGCGGCTCTTTCATCCTTATAATGCGGCTCTGATTGGCTTGGGAAAATAAATT